TTCAAAACACAAAAAATGGAAACATATATTTTAAATGATTAAACTATTAGAATGATGTTTTTTTCAGAAAACATATTAAATTTATATGCATCGATTGTACTTTTGTACATGAATTTTTCTAAATTTGGAGATTTATTACATAATATATGATATAAAAATAGGTAATTATTTACTTTTAAAGGAGTACCTCAGAATGACCTTGATCTTGACATATGTTGTCAAAATCATGATCTTGAGTAACATTCAAAAGATTTTAGCCGTTGGTCGTTCCTCATTAAAAAGTTATTAACAAAAAAAGTTTGAAAAATATATTTGTTATATTTTTATAATTTTGATAAAAGATCGTTATATTATTACTAATATTTATTATTACTGAAATTACTACTTTAAAATTATTCTTATGCGAAAACTTGCAAATCTATACACAACCGTATAATTGTATATATCTTGTTTTGCGTCCAAAGCACAGAGCGATATGGGATGGACTTCGCTTCGTGCAAAAAATTGCTAACTCGTATAAAATCGTATAACTCGGTAAATCTTTTTCGTTAAATATCTCAAAAATTATACGGGACCACCAAATAAAACAAAGTGAATATTAATCAGCAACCTCACTCTTAAAACATATGTGAAGGTCAAGGTCATCGGCGAGATGTCCGCTAATGTAAATAATTACCGATTCGGTACCATTTTCCCTTAAACAATGACTTTCTTATAGGAGTCGCCAAAATTCCCTTTAGAGGTTTTTATTTTAACCTGAAAGGAAGCTTTTCACAAAGTTTCATTGAAATCGGAGCTAGACCCTTTTCGAAACTCTACCCCAGAAGACATATTATGTTTATATGCATCGATACTTTTGTACATAACTTTTTATGAATTTGGAGATTTATTATATAATACATGATATAAAAATAATATAAATGGCATACATATAACACTTTGTAATATGTTAATGCCAAAAAAATGATATGTTATCTATTAAGGAATTAATGACACTGAGGCAGGCGTGAAAGATACAAGTTATTTGTTTTTTTCTGGATTCTTCTGTCGATATTACTTAATCTTGCTGAGTCATTTATCGAGCAGCACGGCAATGTTGAATCTTTAAAATTTCTTTCACACAGTCTAAAGAGAAGCATGATCAGCAGTTTTTACAGGGTGACGAATCATGGGCACTTTGAGGCTAATTAAAGCCGCTGGTTCAATTAACGGATGAAAGAGTAATACTTAACAAGCGTTAACAAATTAAAAAAAAACACACAACGCGTAATATATCAAGTTCTAAAATCTCTGAACTTGCGAGATTTATCAGAACTTCTTTTTCAAAAATAAGACCGATTTATCAAGAGCATATTTTTTATGTCTTAATATGCAAATAAGCGTCGAGTCACATCGAATGGTAGGTACTCCCGTTTCGGTAGCGAAATATTGAATAATAAACTTATGCAAATCTCATTCTCTCCTTCCAGTCGAACTGCAAAATTTTATGGAGTTAAATATCGTCAACGTTTTGTAAGAAAGAATAATTGAATAGTTAAGCACAGTTATCGCCTTATGTAAAATGAAATACTACGCTATGTCAATAATTTCCTAGTTACCGATTTAGACATAATGTTTTTTCATCGTTGCAAGATTGTTATATAAAAGAAACGATTATCGATTGTCGAGTCACGATGGAGAACAACTCGAAGTAACTTTTGCAACAAGCGTACTTACATCTATAACGCATAATTTATCTTGCTCTTGCGTGCGTAATATTGCGAGACTGTCCTCTATTACGCGGGCTCTATAAATAGATGGAACAAGCAAGTTGAATAGACAGTCTACAGTTCAATCTCGCTGCTGTTCCTTCGGAGACTACAATCTCGAGGTTCAGTCCGTTGTGACTTCTCTCTCTTTCTCTGTCTGTCTCTCTCTCTCTCTCTCCTCCATTTGTCGAATAATTCGCCGAGATATTTCGCCTTGCTAAAACTGACAAGATTATTTCAACGGTTGTGTTTGTAATTTACAGTGTATAGTTTTACAAGGAATTCGACGAGTGCTCGTATCATTTTTATAAAAATAGAAATTTATGGAATTATTTGCTACGCGCGTGTCTATTGAGTGCAGAGATGATTGTGTAAAACTACAATATATTATATCGTAGAATTCTAGAATTTTAGAATTAAAAGATTTGTAAGAAAGAATAATTGAATAGTTAAGCACAGTTATCGCCTTATGTAAAATGAAATACTACGCTATGTCAATAATTTCCTAGTTACCGATTTAGACATAATGTTTTTTCATCGTTGCAAGATTGTTATATAAAAGAAACGATTATCGATTGTCGAGTCACGATGGAGAACAACTCGAAGTAACTTTTGCAACAAGCGTACTTACATCTATAACGCATAATTTATCTTGCTCTTGCGTGCGTAATATTGCGAGACTGTCCTCTATTACGCGGGCTCTATAAATAGATGGAACAAGCAAGTTGAATAGACAGTCTACAGTTCAATCTCGCTGCTGTTCCTTCGGAGACTACAATCTCGAGGTTCAGTCCGTTGTGACTTCTCTCTCTTTCTCTGTCTGTCTCTCTCTCTCTCTCTCCTCCATTTGTCGAATAATTCGCCGAGATATTTCGCCTTGCTAAAACTGACAAGATTATTTCAACGGTTGTGTTTGTAATTTACAGTGTATAGTTTTACAAGGAATTCGACGAGTGCTCGTATCATTTTTATAAAAATAGAAATTTATGGAATTATTTGCTACGCGCGTGTCTATTGAGTGCAGAGATGATTGTGTAAAACTACAATATATTATATCGTAGAATTCTAGAATTTTAGAATTAATAAGTTTGATTTTATATAAATAATCAATAACATAAAATAATGTCCGTTAAATTTTATACATATGTTTGAAATAATATTGCAGATTATTTAGTCTTATACGTTAGTTACGATCGGAAGCGTAAAAAGCCCGTGGTTTACCGTTAAAATTTATTTCATGTCGCTGGAACATCCGACACGCAATCGATCACACCGGCTAATTTATTAATAGTGCGTCGCGCGTCTTTGCAGATTTCAAAATGCCTATTGATCTTTACCAACTTCCCGGAAGTGCGCCGTGTCGTGCCGTGCGTTTGGCGGCGGCAGCGGTAGGAGTGGATCTAAACTTGAAAATCACTAATCTTATGACCGGTGATCATATGAAACCCGAATTTCTTAAGGTAATCTGAAATAATGAATTCCACAGCAAAGCGTTCAAAGATACTATAAACAAATACTAGAAGATTTTTAATCATAAACTCGTAAAGGATTAATGTTTATAAATTTAATTTTTGATAAAAAGTATTTATACAGGGTGAGTCAGTTAAAGTGTTACAAACTTATATCTCGAAATCAAAGCATTTTAGAGAAAAATGTCTCATACAAAAGTTTTGTGACTTCGAAGAGAACATAAGACGGTATAATTAATTTGACCTTGAATAGTCCTTTGAAGATCACATGAAGATAATCTTTAATTTCTTAAAAGAGAACCCCCATTTCTCAATACACATTCTTGTAGCTTACCTCGAGAACTTTTCAAAACACTATAATAAAGTATTTTCCATTAAGTACTTTTTGAGTTATTTTATATCTTAATTTGACATATATTTTAATGTAAAAAATAAAATATTTAGTTTTCAATAATTTTACCGTAATACTTTTATGTACAGATACTTAATGAAAAAATACTTTATTACAGTGTTTTGAAAAGCTCTCGAAATAAGCTACAAGAATATGCATTGAAAAATGGAGATTTCCATTTAAGAAATTGAAGATGATCTTAATGTGATCTTCAAACGACAAGTTCAAACCAATGATACCATCTTATGTCCTCTTCAAAGTCACAAAACTTTTGTATGAAACATTTTTCTTTAAAATGTTTTGTTTCTGAGATATGAGTTTGTAACACTTTAACTGTCTCACCCTGTATATAAGTGTTAATATAATAATTAATAACGTTTAAGAACTTTTTAAGAAGTATAAGCTTTTCTTGTGCATGTGTTTTTACATTTCATTAATTAGCTTGTCGAGTGAAAAAATATTCGAAAACTTCAAGATGATTTGATCTTTTAAATAATTATCTTATGTGTCTGATATATATACAGGGTGCGGCATTTATAGTGACGCGGGCATATTTTTCGGAAA